CTCTCTCTCTTTCTCTCTCTCTCTCGTACCGCCCCACCCCACAATCTTTTGTGGAGTTAAAGTCTTAAAAGTGGCATATTCTTAGTTATAAACTTGCTGATAAATAAGCTCTCATTTTTCAATACTGTAAAGGGTGAATCTTTGAAATGTAAATAACATCACTTCTTTCTCACACACATATATTAAAACGAACTGTTTAAAGGGAGGTATGGGAAAGGAATCAACTCTATAGTAAGAAGTAAAACTCATATTACTAGGAGTCAAAGAATTTTAAAATATGTAAAATATAAAACTTATTTTATATACTGTTTGTATTTACTATTTAGCTGTCACATTAACTTTAAAAGTTATTTACCTTGCATAAATGCTGCATATATGAATTATCAGTATATACTTTTACTTCCCGTCATCTCGGCCCATCTCAAAACCACTTGCTAAAATATTCTACTTCCTGAGCAGCTATCCCTGTCTATTAGTTGGTATGGAGATTCTTAGAAGGCAATCTTTCTGCCTTTTTACTTCTTTTCTTGTTACTCAATAGATTGACCTTGACATATTTTTTACTATTCATAGTTTTTACTTCTCATAATTAAATTAAATCCAATTTAAGCATACTTTTATTCATATGTTCAATAAATAACATGCATGTAAACATCATTTTTTAGTCTGCTTTTACTTNTTATTCATATGTTCAATAAATAACATGCATGTAAACATCATTTTTTAGTCTGCTTTTACTTCTAAATTTAAGTAAAATAATTTTTATTAAGTACCTGAGGGGGAGCACTGTGGAGGAAACAAATATGAGTTAAAAGATAATCCTTGCAATAAAAATTTTCAGTGTTAAATACTCTAGTTGCTTGTGGCAGAAACTACTAGTTGTTCATTACTGTCTTTTCTCCCATCTCCAATAATAGAATCTACTTTTAGCTGGATACCTATATAGTTCTTCTACGTTCCTTTATTGGAAATGATGTGTGCAATTTGCAGGTCTTGTCCCATAAAAAATCTACCTGCAATCCTTTGGTTGTTTCCTCCTCCCCTTCCTTTGGCTAACGAATAAAAAAACTGGAAATCTGCCATTGGACTCAGAGATGGAAACAACATATTTCAGGTAGTAGAACTCTCCTACCAGCCTGGACTACTTTCCTTTACACTAGAGAGAAATAAAATTCCTGTCTTTGTTAAGACGTTTTACTTTGAATCTTTTTGTTACCACTACTTAGACTGTACTTTAAATAATACAATTCCTCAAAAACATGAGTTGTTTTGTCATTTCAAATCTCAAATATGTGATTATACATCGAATTTTAGAACAAAATCTGTAAGTTGGGAATACTGTTAAAATAATTAATTGGGAGGTCATTAGACTGAGGAGACTTTAGGGCCCTGATTTCTATGTAAGCAAACTGTAAGAAATTTCTATGTAAGAAACCCAACTCAGGGCCGGCCCGGTGGCACACTGCTACAGTGTGCCGCTTGGGAAGCACGGCGGCACTCCCGCCGAGGGTTCGGATCCCACATGCAGACCGGCCGCTCACTGGCTNAAAAAAAAAAAAAAAAAAAAAAAAAAAAAAAAAAAAAGAAACCCAACTCAGTGTGAATGGTCATATCCTAGGAAAATGAAACTTATGTTTACCAGTCAGAAACTGCCAGCTAACCTCTAACTAGGGACTTCACCAATCAGAAACCACCAACTAATCTCTCACTAGGAACTTTAAGGCTACAGCTCCACTTTAACCAATCAAATACTGTCTTTACCTTGCTTTTGCAGGCATTTTATAAAAGTTTTCCCCTCATGCCCCTTTGGTGCAGCCCTAACCACCTGTAGTCTGCCAATTCATGAACTGCTATCTGCTCAAATAAACTTCCTAACTTTTCATATGCCTAAGTTTATCTTTTAACAATATTTTATTATAATTTTTTAGGGTAAAAAGAAATTCCAAGAAGAAATAGGGAGTGCTACAAATGGGCATGAGGGATCTTTTTCAGAGTGATGAAAATGTGGTCTAAAATTGGATTGTGGTACTGACTGCATAATTCTATACGTTAACCAAAAACCATTGAATCATACACTTAAAATGAGGGAATTTTTGCTATGTAAGCTACACCTCCATAAAGCTGTTCTAAAAAGTTCAAAAACAGTTATTCACCTCAGACCATTGATATATATTAGTATCAATGAACAGTGGAGTTGAAGATTCTTCACCTTGATTAATCTGAAACACAACATAAAGACATCTTTACAGAAATAGACATAATTGTGTTCATAAGTCTTTTGCCCAAAATGGATAAAAATCAAGCCTTATCAATATTTTTCTTTTAAAAAGTATGTGTGCATATGTGTGTGTGTTTCCCGGAGATATCATCCATAATTACTAAGACCAAATCACTTAACTTCTCTTGGCTTTAGGTTTGACATTATAGGGGT